GGCGATTACAGATGTAACTGCACTGTCGTATAAAGGCAGTTTGAAATGAGAATGTACGCACACAAAGCAACAGGGGAGTGACTATTGTCCACATCGTAGGTGAGAAAAATAAAAAAAGATATCAAGGATAACACTTACTCGTGTGCAACTATCTTGAGTCGACAGGATACTGAAATCCAGTTTCTAACTTAGTAGCGTTTATCAAATTTCGTGTAAGGCGTTTGGAGTGAGTCATTCTCGAGTAGGGTTATGGCACTAACCCCTGTCTGTTGTGCATTAGTGCCAGCATCTGGTGGTCATGAGCTATAGCACGTAGTGCAAATGTGACAGAGTATCGTCAAGGCGTTTTTGAAAAGGGATAGGGTGGGTGCATTGATTATATGTTCCGGGAGGGTGTTCCAAGGCTGTGCCACTCGAAGGGAGAAATAGTTTCGCCGACATTCCAGTCGGCTGTACTGCGTGATTAACTTAAACTGGTGACCTCTTAGCGAGGTGTTTTGACTGAGTATTAGAAGGGAATGGCATGAGTGGTTGAGGTTTCTCAGGATCTGATACACCATTATGAGATCACCCCTTAGTCGCCGATAACGTCCACTGTATATTTTGAGGGTCTTCAGCCTGAGTGTGTCGGGGAGGCTGTTCAAACCTCTGACGTTGCCCTACGTTGTGCAGTATCGAGCGCAGTGAGATGGCACTTGAGCCAGGGTTGCCACGCTTAAATAGCGTATTCCGCGTGCGACCTCACGTACGCACTAAGCATTTTTGGAAAGACTGAAGGGTCAAACTTCCCGAAAGCTCTGCGAAGAAGGCCGAGGTACTGGTTCGCTTTCTTAACTGCCTTTTCAGTCTGCATCAGCTCTTCATCCGACCACCGGGAATTACCTTGGATTTATTATTTGTCGCCTAGTAGACCTGCGAAACTACGCGGAGTACAGGGTTATTGCGCTACGTTTTTGGCAGCAAAATTACTAACTACATTCGCCTTTTCCCATAACCCAGCAGACCATCCAACCAGGCTTTTAAAGTAGTGCTACTTAACCCGTTTAAATTCATTGATCATGGTACTTGACAATGGCGAGGAGTGTAACATTTTGGTTGGTGTTGCTTATTTTGTCTGCATATCTTTCTCCTTGTATTGTGTTTGCGACTGAGGAGAACGATCGAAATGTCGAGATGTCGTAACTTGTCTTCTCTTTGTCTTAATGAAACAACTGCCGTGTGCTTGAACTGTGTACTCGTTATGTCAATTGAGGCGAAAATTCATTTTGAAGCAAACCTAAACTAGTCCGATTAGAGTGGTTAGCAGTATCCCGCCAGGTTTCAAGCAATAATGAAGGAAGACAGATAACATTGGTAAACGTGTAAAGTGCAATCCCAGCTTGGGCTTATGTCTTTAAAAGCAAACAAATGGGTTGCGTACATCCACACAATAGTACTCAACTGGGTCTCGAAGATAAAAGCGTCACATGAAGTAATCTTGACTTGTTTGGCCCTATTTCCAGGTAATTGTAGTACCTTTGATTACATTGAGACTGCGGGTCGTAACCCGTACACACAACCAGTACCAAAAGGTACTCATCCAATCAGTCACTAACCGTCGTGACCCGATAGCCAAAGGGATGGAGGTTACGGCGAATATTCCAATGGTCCCGGGTTCGCTGACTACTATCTCCACCTGATGATATTCTATAACGTCGGAACACATCGTGTTGTGTAGGGTCTTTTGGCTCGCAACACCTAATTTCCATCTGTTCCGGCTGAGGCCCCAGTGATCGCTTCAATGGGAATCGCGTGCGCCGCAATCCATTCACACAAAGGACACTTCAAATTGACCCTCCAATATGTCCTGTGATGAACTTATGGCTCTTCAACATGCTTTTATTCATGTTCGGAAGTTATCAAACTGATGTGATGTTCGCCGGTTCATTCGTCGATGTAGCCGTGGCAAACGCAGCGGAGTTGTCCGCATAGATATACACTTTCCGCTGGTTATTTTAAACTAAGTAACAAGATAAACAATTAGTAGGAGGATTTTAATTGTAATGTTTTCGTCCCAGCTGCTCACAAGCTACATAGCACAGCCTAGTCCGGAAAAGCACCAGACGCGTTTCGCCCTATTAGGGCTCTTCACTGATGCGCATGCCCTCGGTCCCCTACTGGGGAGCAAACCCATGACCACTAGAGGCAGATCTTATCTAGCCAGCAGCTTAGGCTACTGAGCCCTGGTGGAGGTCGGTTAGCCTACACAATTTGCAAGCTAACTGGGATATAGCGCGACCTACCTTCCACTGCCACGCAGGTTACAACCTTAGCAGATGAGAGTGGCGAGCCTCTGAAGGACATGACTTCCTCTCACCATAGCATTTGAAACTAGAAAAGGCTACATTACAAAACATTACGATTGAAATCCACCTGCTAATTAGTAATATAAAAGGTATCCCCTTCTAGTTTCAAATGCTATAGACACAGCGTCTAGTGAGAGGAAGTCATGTCCTTCAGAGGCTGGCCACTCTCATCTGCTAAGGTAGTAACCTGCGTGGTCGTGGAAGATAGGTCGTGCTATATCCCAGTTAACTGGCAAATTATGTAGCCCAGCGTAACATCCCATGGATTGGTGGTTTTTCGTGCAAGCTAGTTGGCATCTGCCTCTAGTTGTCATGGTTTCGATCCCCCAGTAGGGGACCGAGGGCATGCGCACCAGTGAAGAGCCCTAATAGGGCGAAACGCGTCTGGTGCTCTTCCGGACTCAGCTGTGCTATGTAGCTTGTGAGTAGCTGGGACGAACACATTATAAGTCACAAGATGTTTGATAGAGCAGAGACAAAATTGAAGCAGCTTCAAATTGTCATATAAGTTTAAGCATCCATTTCATCAGTCGCATGGTTTCGAGCTCCCAGAGAACTCGCTTCAAGTTAGCACTTAATTAGGTTACAAACCCACTACTAGTTAACAAGACGAATGCAGCCAGCAGCCGTCGTATAGTTAGACTGCCATCGATTTACCTCTCAAGCAAAGTTTGCACTTCCGCTCGATTAAAGAGTAACGTTAGCCTGAGCATATTATCGGTCGAGTGCCCATTCCCAGACCTTGGCAAAGTGGGCAAACCACGCATTAGAATGAGGTCAGGATTATAGGAAGCACTCAAACGGAATAACAATCCCGATTCGCAATCGTAATGAACTCCACCATATACTCTGCCCACCTCAGCCAAACCTGGCTACTTTCTCGCAGTGTGTCCATAAGCACTAACTAGCACTGCCCTCAGGGCACCATGGAAGACCACTTGAAACGTGAGCGAAACTGAGATCGAAAAGCATGCTTTGGTCATTCGAAAGACCCAGCTGAGCGCTGACCGTCTAGCAGAAAGTGAACATTCCTCACTTCCCATAAAGTAGGCTGTTTCCCCAGTTTCAGATTGGAGGGATTTGGTGCAACTGATCAGCTGATCACCCGGTCAGTGTATTGAGTGGTGGTCAGGCGGTTAGGTTGGCAAGCAAACATTTCCCTACACACCTTTAAAAATGAAAGAGAAACCACATTTTAATAGAATATACTGAGTTCTGCAATTTCGCGTATCCCCTTCAGCTGTTTACATAGTAAGTATGGGATGGACAGGTTGCACATAGTAAAGACAATCAAGGTGCGATGTTACCGGTGAAAATTCGGATGGTCGAAAGCTGTTGGGTTTGCGTGATTCCGATCGGGGAAAAAGCCTCACCAGGATCGTGCAAGTCTAGTCACGAACTAAACTAGAACCGTCGGCAGTGTGCAATCCAACTGAAGCCTGCGGGACTTGGGTCTACCATTCGACTGTTGCCAGTCTGTGATTAAGACAACAGTAACGCCTGGACCTGACAATTATAACCGAACTGGCCGAGTAAAGTGTTTGCAACGCCGCACTGCGGTCAACGACACTGGATGGATTAAAACAGCCACCGCGAGCGGCCGACATGAAGGGATCGGCCTTGTTTAATGGACAGTTCAGCGGGGAGCACAGAAGTTCGTCGTCTGGCGTTTGGTGCTTGCTTAGATGAAGAGAATAATGCCTAATACGTCTAACGCAACATTGAATGTAAATGAGTGTATTTATACCAACTCTGAACTGATCGGTTGGTAAAGAGAGCGAGGCGAGGATACCGACTTGTAAGTCCTTCCAAACGAGGATCTTGGCGAAAGTTCAAGCATAATCCTGACTGCAGCTCTGTTGCATATTAGCTGGGTTTGCCCACTGATTTGGCATCGCGAGCTATAGGCGTCACGTAGTATATTTTTGCAATCCGAACAATGTTATTTGTATAAAATAGCTATATCATAAATCGCTATTTTGTGGCTGATTCATGTAACACCCGTCTGCTAAAAATGAAACAGACGTTTGCGACGATACCAGCACCATATCGGATGGTGAGAATTAAAACACTCTGAATTTGACGAGAACGTCGGCGACATGTACAAGAGTATTTAAGTTTTAAATCCTGTCCATTCTCGTTGCTTCAAGAAGTCCCGGGATGACCACCCATTAACACAGCGTAACGGCAGAGCTAACAGAACGGAAGGTTAGCTTCCACTGCCCAGTGAACCTCTTCGGTAACACATCGTTCTCTTTCGCATAACCCCAAGGTATCCCAGTGCATTTCATGCGCGCGGTAACATCCACCTTACAAAAATGTAACACCATAGTCAAGCAGACGCATAACAAAAGTGTTTCCGTAGTTTTCACAATTGTTCTATTCTCATCACATCTCGACGTCATGACTGAAATTTTTTCCTAGCGTTTTGTTGCAACATGACAGTTGATTTGTTTCAAACGAGCGCCTTTCTTCATGACTAGCTCACTGTGCGTGTGTACCAATACGATTCGCATTCACATTGTTGAAACGGGGAAAAAGTTACATGCAGGTTTAATCGCAAAGTCAAAATCATTGCAGTGTTTGTGCGCGCCGTAAAACATCAACTCACACACTGCACGGTCATTCCAAGGCATCTTTCTTCTCTACTTCCAGTTCTTCATAGCAGTGGGTTTGATGAACCACCGGTTGACAAGATCAATTGCCACGACAAAGAAACTACCAAACTGAAAGGCCCTGTCTCTTTATTGACAAACGACAGTACGGAAATTGCCTTCAGGGTGAACGAGGATAGCAAGACAACCATGTCGGCCCGCAATACGGAGACACATGACACTGGATTGGATTTTAATTGTTTATCACAGCACAATTTATCCGTGGCTCAGGCAGCTTCATCCTTCGTGAAGTCACTCACGGAATTCGGGTTAAACACCACAAATTCAACGTTTTTCTTTCCGTCCCAGTCAGCCCCCTGTGGGGCGCTTACGGGTGCTCCCGCTGCTCCGACAACCCTACTCCTCAGTGGAGCCGGTCTGCATTCCGGCATGAATGCTGCTCGTGGTCAAACGACGCCCCGTGAGTTACATTCACCGGAATCGATCGAATCGCCGGCATCGCCATCCATGCAAACAGACTCTGGCTCGGTGGCCAAAATGTTACTGGCTGGAGTCCCAGGACATTATTCAACCACGTCTTCGTGTCCAACGCCAGCTCGAAGACGCCACCGTACCACTTTCACACAAGATCAACTGCAAGAACTTGAAGCAGCATTTCAAAAATCGCACTATCCGGACATCTACTGTCGTGAAGAACTGGCAAGGATGACAAAACTGAACGAAGCACGCATACAGGTAAGAATTGGACTAGATTTCCTGAATATTTAGCATGAATGGTTTAACTCTAGGTTATCTTAGGTGGGTTATGCTCTTTTCGGACAGAGTTAAAAAACGCGGGCAGCCATAAAACCGAAGTAGAATAGGAAAAAACAACACCTTCATCGGTAGAAGCAAACCGAAATCGACTAGAAACAGATTATGTCCAATCTTTTCTACCGTTTGTTTGATCAAATGCGGTCAGTGTAGGTGGTGCAATTTCATTTCAGGCGCATGGGAATTTTACACCCGATAAGCCGCGAGAAGAGGTACAGCTGCGCGTTGGAAGCTATTAACTTTAACATTTGGATTAAGGTATTCAATTTTTTGGTCATTACATTCGGATATCACTTTCTGCACTTTTTGGGATGGATGAATAGCCGGTGCCAGTGTCACACAACGCATGTGCTTTTTAGTTGTCTATCCAATCTGCAGCAAAATGTCACAAACGTTGTTGTAGTATAGTTGCACATCGAAATTTGCCGTTTGCAGTGGGACCTCGTCTCACACACTTGTGTCTCGCGAAGTTAATGTCTAACACTGATACGAATACGGATGCGGAATGAATACGCACTGACTCCAAGGTTAGATAGCATGTGGATGGCGCGTGTTGCACCTCAGCAGAATCATAATCGAGACAAGTAATTCATATCTAGGCTTCCAACTAATAGTTCAGTGGTGTATAATGGGATAAGAAGCATAACTTTACAAGACCCACAGGATGGAATGCGCACAAGAAAATTAAAAGCGAAAAATATTCCAAGTTAGAACGTGAATCTTCAGTAGTAATGACCTCGCAGTTCATCACATTGTTGTGCAGCGTTTAACACTAAGATGAAAGTCTAGAAGTCTCTCGAATGTTGTGATGTCTGGTGCGCTCACCACATATGCTGATAGGGCATTCCAGTGGGAACCAATTCTAACAGAGTAAAAATACTTCCTACAGTCCAAACGGGAATGATGGCCTCGACATTGTTTGTAAGAGGCTAGAGTCAGCAATAATGTACTACATGGGTGCTCACTTTCAATTGGTATCCGGTAGGTGAGGACGTGATCCCCACGAAACCGTCGGTATTCTGAACAATGGAACAATGGTTTATTACGGGCAAAAAAAGCATTGTTTAACAAGTGCCGTGGGATGGAAATTATTGCGAAAATCAATTGCATGATAAAGTGAAAAGCGTTGTGATGGACTCGCCATAGACTTAGGTGGAATAGCGGAGATGTTCGTATATTAAACATATAAATCCATAAATCCATTGGTTAGGCGTTTGGCAAGACACCGTTTGATTGCGTTTTGTAGCCGCTGGCTAACAAGTCATAAAATGAAATGTAAGTGAGACAATGCATCGTCAACACGTTTCTTAAATATCGCCAGATTGGGAGGAGAGACGACATAATAAGGGAGGGCGTTCCAAGGCTGGCACACGCGGAGGGGAAAGAAATTTTTACGGCATTCAAGCCTGCTATACTGAATTGTCATTTTCAGAGGGTGACCTCTTAGTTTAATGTTGGGGTTCAATTCCAGCAGCGGACGGCAAATGTGGTTTGGGTTCTTCAGAATCTGGTAAACCATTATGAGATCCCCCCGCAAAAGCCGATATCAACTGCTGTAGATTCTTAGGGATTTCAGTCTAAGCTGATAGGGCAGATGAAAGAGGCCCCTGACGTTCTTGGTTGCCCTTCGTTGAGGAGTCTCGAGAGCAACGAGATCCCGTTTCTGTCACGGCTGCCCCGCCTGAATAGCATATTCCGCGTGAGGTCGCATGTAGGCGTTAAGCATTTGGGGAACGATTGAGAGTTCAAACCGACCGAAGGCTCTGCGAAGAAGACCGAAGTGTTGATTGCCGGTCTACGTCGCCTTCTCTGCTTGTTTGGAACACCCGAGATCTTCCTGAACCAATACACCCATGTCACGCTCCTGAGAAACCTTCGCCAAGGTGTGGTCTCCAATCTTGTAAGCGCTGACGCAGATGTATCACTGCACTTAGCCGTGTTCAGTTGAAGCATGTTCCTCTTTGACCATTCGTAAATGGAATGAAGAGAACATACCTAGAAAACGAAGGTGCAGTTCGTAACTGAGACCGGACAGTCCATATGTTGCTTTGCTATCTCTTTTTTGTGGTTGATCCATGAGACGAATATCTCGTTTTAACCATGGGCCCCAGGCCTGAACCACATATTCAACATGGGGACGAAGGTACGTGTTAACCAACAGTGGTACTAGCCATGGTTCAAAGGTGCCGGGAGCTCACCTCGAGTGCAAGTTCGCCACATTCGCTGCTTCCGAGTATTGGAGCGAATTTCCAAGACTTTCACTAGTCACTAGACATTCACTAGTCACCTGTTGCAAAACGTACTGTCCCAGAAGATATGTGTTGCTGAGACTGCTACGCACCGTCAGCCGGTGGCACTTTGCAGGGAGCCCCACTAGGGGACCGAGGGAATGCGCGCCAGTGACGAGCCATAATAGGGCGAAACGCGTCGGGTGCTTTTCCAGACTAGGCTGTGCTATGTAGCTTGTGAGCTACTGCGACAAAAACATTACAACACTCATTTTTCTCGAGTGGTCAGAGATAAACCCCCAAAGCTAATCATTGGGATGACATGTGGGATATGGAGGAGCCAGTGTGGTTTGTCCTGATACAGTATGCATTCATTAAATCAATCGTCTATTGCAATAAATACGTCACAGAAGCCCAATCTAGTTTCAGCAGCAACAACAACATGCTGGTCTTTATTAAACAGACATCCAGTAGTGGCCCCGTCAAAAAGACGGCCGCAAGATGTGTGCCCGTTGCTGTTATCGACAAGACAGCATACTGTTCTGTGACGGGGCAAACGATGAGAAGTTTAGGACGTGTTGTTCATACCACTTCACATATAACGACGGCGACATTGGGTGTCGGAAGGGACAAACCCAACCCTAGATAGTTAAGTAGACATCTGAGAAGGAACAAAGGCACCAGCAATACGCCGGCACATCGTACCGACGCTTTGCTGCCTCTTGAACACCAGCAGTAGCGCGTCTGCAGAGTGTACCGCGGAGTAGTCCAAACCCATGCGGATTGGAACTGGCGTCTTCGGGATCAAAATGCACTTGTGCAATCCTTCCTGCCACCGGCCTATCTGTACGAAGTCTTTACTGACAAAATAGGCGAATATCGAGGCCAGACCGCTTCAGCTGTCACAAAGCATGGAACGAACAATGCTCCCAAGTAAATCCCAATGCCTAGTGCATCATTCTCGCATGCGATCCAAAACCAAACATTTGCGGACTAATTGATAAAACTGACCTCGAACGACCAAGGTTGATTGTGGTTTGGAATCCAATGTGCCAGTGCGAAGAGCACTATTTTGGCAGCCACCAATCGAACTCACGTGACTGCTTTTTGCATCATGATTTGTTATCCGTTCAAGCCTGAGGAACGAGCACGAAATGCCACTGGCTTATTCAGTGTCACCTTTAGTTCTTAGGCTGTCGTGAACAAATCACAGTCTCTCCGGGAAAACAGTGCTTCGGGAATCGACTAGAGCTGCCCAAAGGTACTTAAAACTCTTGTCTTCACCATAGTAGTACAACTTACAGCCTTTTCCAGGGTCAGTTTAACTCCCATACACTCCCGTCTGAGTGGAAACTTGGAACCATCACTCTGAGATTCAAAGGAGGTATGAGATCAGATCCTGTCAATTATCAACCTATTACTCTCCTACGTGCTTCATCAAAAATGCTGGACTCGGTAATCGCAAATGAGCTGAGGCGATATTTTGAAAGTCTGCAAATAATTTCTAATTTCCAACATGGTTCCAGACGCAGCCAATCTTGCCTCATCAAGCTGCTGCTTGCCTGGGATTCATGGACCACCGCAGCTGATAAATGAGTCTCCATAGATGTGGTTTCCTTAAATGGTTCCAAGGCATTCGATAAGGTCAATCACTTCGTTATCCTTCAAAAGCCTGCTGCCTACGGTATCAACAATTCCCTGCTCACCTGGTTGGAAGATTACTTACAAGACAGAACAATCAAGGTGAGAATAGTCAACACTCACTTCGAAAGTCTGTACGTATCCAGCGGTGTACCGCAAGGATTCATCCTCGGCCGGCTACTGTTATTAGTGCACATAAATACTTCCCTGAAAATATTTTCTCCCCGACGCAGATATTTGCAGATGATGCTAAAATATGCAGAGCAATTCGCTCAGCATCCAACCGTGCCCATCTCCAAAACGATCTGGATGGGATTAACGAATGGAGAGAAAGGAACTAGTTCCCACTAAACCCTTCAAAGTATGACCGCTAGAGGCAGATGCCAGCCAGCCAACAGCTTAAGCCACTAAGCCATGGGGGATGTCGGCTGGATTACACAATTTGCCAGCTAAGTGGGATATAAGACGAGTAATCTTCCACTGCCACGCAGGTTACTACCTTAGCAAATGACAGTGGCTAGCCTCCGAAGGTCATGACTTCCTGTCCCTAGACGCTACGTTCATAACATTTGCAACTAGGAGAGGCTACAATTCATATTACCAATGGGCAGGAGGATTTTAATTTTAATATTTTAGTCCCAGTGTATAGTATTCGTGGAAGTATTGGGCTCAAACTGGCACCACATTAGTACAGGATATTAACCGCCCAGTATCTTGAGTGCATTTAATGTGCACATTTCCTGAGACCTGTGTTGTAACTGTGAGGGACAAATCTGCACCGGTCTATCCTTAGAAAAGTGTCCACAAAGTTTTGCTCCATTCCCCGTGTTGCGTATTGAACGTACCATCTTGGTTCTTCGTTCATCCTGGAATGTAGTTATTTGGATTCTCATCATCGAGTTTGTTGCGTGCTGATCCTGTGTGGAATGGTCTAGGAACAGACGCAAAGATTTTCCTTTGGGACTCAAAACTTTGTTGGATATGGGGCCTTCGAGTGACTCCATATCAAGTATTCCACACCTCAAAGGGAGAGCAGGGTTCCTATATACTTCA